GACCCTAAGCCAGTTACTTCATTTCACTCAGCCTTAGTTTGTACTTTTCACGGGCTGTTGTAAGACACTGAGTAAATGCATGTACGAGTTTAGTTGGGCTCAGTGAGTCATCGCCTCCTGTTCATCTGTGTGCTATCCCATCCTCATCACCATACGTCCGTCCAAACTTGCCCAGTTCTTTGTGGTGGCAGATGAGAAAACAGGTCCTGGATCCCACCAGTGGGGCTCAAACAAGCCTTTATGATGAGGCAGCAAGAGATGCACAGGTAGCCATAGCAGGAGCGGCCAGCAGCGTCAGCAACCCTGGGCTCTGGCCGCAGCAGTGAGTGGCCAGTAAGAGACCGTGAGAGGCGGGGATTAAAATTGAGATGAAAAAAAAAATGTACAAAATGATGTAAAAATAAACTATTATATTTATTTAAAAAAAAAATCAAAGCCATGTCCCTTGGTGATGGGAAACCCACAGGGATTACAATTGAGATGGGGGAAAAAAAAGTACAAAATGATGTAAAAATTATTACATTATAAAAAGATTTTAAAAAATCAATTTAAAAAAATGTGAGTTTTCTTGTCAACAGATGACATATAACCATGGCATTAATAAATACAGTGCTGCCCCCCCCCAAAAAAAAAGAGAGAGAGAGAGACCGTGAGAGGCCAGTGAGTGGTCCGCAGATAACCCCACGCCGGGGGGAAGCCCTATTAGCTTTCATATGATTTATGTACAAAGCCAGCACCGTGCCCAGTTTAGGCCTAGCTTGCAGAAGTTTGTTCCATGCATATAAGCTCTACATCAAAGTTGCATCTTATCTACTGCGCTCTGCACATGGGACGACTCCTCCAGGCCACGTGATAGCTACTAGCCTGTGCTGGAAGGTCACAGCAAAAAACAGAGAAGCTCTGAGAAAACTGTTTTCCCCTGGGCCCTACAGTCTCACAGACACAGGAACAGGGGTGACTGTGTTCCTGTTGGTGAGGCTGACCAGCTTGGTGGGGCGCAGAACACTAGCTGCCCGATGGGCAAAGGAGGTTGAAGACAGCTCCATACAGGCCTCTTTGAGGGGTGTCTGTGGCTTTCAATCTTCCTGTTCCCCCTAAGCTGATTCTGTGAGGATAGTTCAGATGAGAGTTGTCTCCAGTTGCTCCGGGCAGGTTGTGAGCCTTAGGAAGAGAGAGAACGTTGGGGTTTCCTGTGAAAGTTCATTTATTCAAACCACATTCTTTTGGAATTTATGAGTTCTTATTGAACAGAGAAAATAGAACACAACCTTTTACTGTGAAGATTCTAGAGATGTTTGCTTTGTAAACAAAGAACATTCAAACCAAAAAACTGGAATTTGTAAGCCAAGAGTTCATGATACTCAGATGGGTCAGTTGTGAGTGCGGTGACCTGTTTCATGGAGCCCAAACCTTTGGGCTTGTTCTGTTTTCCTTTTCCTTGGTTTTGTTGATGGTAGCTGATGAAGGAAAGAATAGAAAACCTAAAGGAGGCATCCCAAGAGTAAAACCTGACTCATACAAGAAGGTGGCCGGGGAGAGGGGATGAACATGACATTAATCCTACTATAGAAATCAAGACCCTTAGGCTCTGTGCCTTATCACAAGGCAGGAGGCCCAAGCAGGTGTCAAACTACTTCTGGGAGTGTCTGGTACACAGACCTGAGCTGCAGAATCTCCGGTCCTGATTCCACATAATTCTGCAAAATCAGCAGCAGACAGGCCGCTCCACAAAGGAGTGAGCCCTCCCAAAGAGAAAATGACTGACTGTTTCGGTGCAGTCTCTGCCCTGGCCAGGGCAGCGGTCCTCTGCCCACCTGTGCCTAGGCAGGTGCTTCTTTCCACCCACTCTCTCCCCCTGCAGGGCAACAGCTTCCTGTCTGCCCATGACTGGTACCATGCTGGGGCTTCTCTGCACTGACCTCCCTCAGCGGAGGCCGCGCTCCTAAGGCCGCCTGCCTGCACCCATGCAGGCCTCTCTCAACAAACCTGTCCCTTCCAGGGCAGCTCTTCCTGCCCGCTTGCAAGAGTACTCTTCTCTGTCCCTTTCTCCATTAAACCTGTTCTTTAAATATAACTGATGTCTGTATCTTGGAGAAACTCACCTGGGAAACTCGCTGCATGCTGCTGAAAAGGAGTTCTGATGAAACCTTTCCAGAGAGAACCCAAGGACCTGGAACTCCAAACTTATCTCCAAAGACTGCATTAATAGCTGTAGTGGCAATGGTATTAGTAGTGATTTACATCAGATCAAATTACTGGTTTCTAAAAAGGAAGCAGGAAAGAAGGTGGATAAATCTGGTAAAAGGGCTCAACTGTGTTTGTTTTGTTTTTAAAGATTTTATTTTTTATTTATGCATGCAGAAATAGGGTTCAGGCCAGAGGTGCAGGGGCAGTGAGAGGATTCGCCAACAACAGAGTGGGGAGCAGGACAGGCAGATTGACAAAGAACATTACTTAAGGGAGCAGCGGGCAGGTCAGGAGAGGTCTGCTGCGCCTTGTGGGTCAGCTCTGGGGCATAGATCAAACTCACACTGAAACGGCCACAACTTGGCTTGGCTTTGCAGTGCAGCACCAACCCACTGCATAGTGAAGGATAAAATCGGACTTTGAATGGTGAATTTACTGTAATACACACATTGACTTACAATGATGTGCAACTGAAACTTACATTATATTATGATATAATGTTGCTATGAGTCAGAATTGAACTTGGCAAATATTTTTTTTAAAGATTTATATATTTATGCATAGGAAAATTGGGGTACAGGCCAGAGGTGCAAGGAATGAGAGGATTCACCAGAGACAGAGTGGGGAATAGAACAGGAAGAATGACTGAAGTACACTACTGAAGGGAGCAGCAAGCAAGATACGAGAGGTCTGCTGTACCATGTGGGTCAGCTCCCTGGCCGGGGATCGAACTCAGGTATATAGTGCTGCAATTTAACCCGTTGCCCCACCAGAGAGGGCCCAGAACCTGACAGATATTACCTCTTTAATCTTTCCAAAAATCTACAAGGATATAACTATATTATGGGATACTACTCAGAAATAAAGAGCTGTTCACAAAACCTTTATTGATGCACACAACCCTTGGTGGAATGATTTGCGCTGGGGAAAGTCAGCCTCAACAAGCTACAAGCTATATGATTTTACTTCTAGGGCATTCTCGAAATTATGGAAACAGAGAACAGATTGCCAGGGTTTGGGGAGAAATGGGGCATAAAAGGGCAGCGTGAAGAATTCCTGGGGTAATGGAATCCGTCTGCATCTAGAGCCTCAGTTTCCACCGCCTGGCTGTGATAGTGTCAGATGCCACCATTGAGGGAATCTGCAAGTTTTATTTCTAACAACTGCATGTAAATTTATGATTTATCTCAAAATGAAAAGATTAAATTAAAACAACAGGAAGAATCTGAAGTTCAGAGTAATTAGACAATCTCGGACCCAGAATTCAAGCCTCAGAGTGTCAAACACCCCTATGCCTGAGCATTTAAAGATCTGGGGACACTCCAGGAAACCAGGCAGGAGACCCTATAGACTGCATTCCTCAGGCCCGGTGGTGGCCCACGGGTCTCCCAGCGGACTTTGTTACTGGGGATTGCTGTCCTGAAAAGACTATTTATTAGAGAGGCTTGAAAGAATCGTTTGGCAGGCCCTGTGACCTGGCAATGGAGCCAAGGCTGGATAAGGTTTCCCCTTCCCAAAGTACGTGAAGGGATGGGGGGGCGGGAAGGGTGAAGCCTGCCTGCCTGCCTATGAGAGCCTCTGGCTCAGGGACCCACACCTGTCACTTTCCGAGCAGGTGTATTTCCGGGTGGGTGGGGGCGGGGTTGGGCGCTGGGTAAGTCAAGCATCCGTGTTTCGACCAAGTTAAACCGTTCGATAATACCTCCCCCCAGAGCAAAGCGGACTGTTGAACCAGCCTGTCACGAACTGGCTCTGTGTACTGTAGATAAACTGGGTAATTGGACTCTCCGCCTCCTCATCCAAAACAAACACAAACCGCCCACCCCACGCTGGAGGGAGCCGGGTCCTGTCGTCTGGGGACTTGGCTTCAGTGCCCAGCTTTCCCTGACCGGGTGGACAAGGTGAGCGCGTCCCGCTGGGCCCCCCCCCTTCCCCCCGCCGCCGCCGCCGCCGGACGCCGCCAGCGCTTATGTAAAGAGGTCACGGCTCGCTCCGCCGCGGGGTGCGCGCGGATTCCTGCACAGGTGTGGCGGCGGCCGGGGGACGCGTGTGCAGCGGGCTCGCCGGCTTTCTCCCGGCAGCCGCGCCGCGGCTCCTTCCGGCTGCTCATTTCTCTCCAGTGCCTGTCTGGCAGCGGCGTTCCGCCTGGGGAAGGACAGAGCGCCGGCTCCCCCGCTGCCCGCGCCGCGGGCGGGGGCTCCCGGCTCTCGGGTGATGCGCTGC